ATTGCCGCGCGGTTAAAGTAAGCATCGTCGACGAGGCCCGCTGCTTCTCGGCGGTGATGCAACAGCGAAGTCAACGTTCACGTTTGTCCTGCCTGCGAACGAAACCCCGAATTTCGACTATTCTCACAAGGAAAATCGAAGGTTACCAATATACTACTCAATAGTCCATACAAAACGATGTTGCTTTCAAAAATATGAATCCTCTGCAAATCTCCTCTACTTATACGACGTCGCAATGGAGAAATACTGAGTATTTCGAAAGCTTCACAATATCCCCGTAATGTAAACAAAAGTAACCACCATATTCAGCCGTATACCCTACAACTTTCATTCGAAGCATTTGCTCGTATCGCTCATACTGCTTAAGTTATCGAGTGCTGTCTAGAAAATGGCCGTCCCACCCCTAGTTCGTGGTTTCAATTCGAACCCGTCGATATCTCCGTCGCCGATGTTCCGATCCATCCGCGGGGAAGGGAATCCCCGATCAATCGAAGAACCGAGCGTCGCCGCGACGAGAAATCGGGTAAAGCCGGCTAAGAACGATGAGACGTGAGTCAACCTAACATCGCGTCGGGCAATTTTGTCGCGGTAGGCGCACTCCAAGCGTCTAATAATACGGTGCTCAGTGAAATTGCGACCCAGTTAGGCTTTGACCCACTTGGTTGCACCGTAATCATCGTCGAGTGCTCCGCTCGGATTGATATTAGAGGTAAACACGCGCCCGCCGGAAGACTCCGGCCGGCTCTAGGGTTCCCGTTTGCATTGGGCACCGTCGGCTCGCTTGGTTTACCTCCCGCGATCCGAACCCGTGTCCAGTTCCGTGGCCATTTCTCGGCGTGTAGCCCGAGAGCGTATCCCACGCCTGGACTGGACACTTTTAACCCCTTGCCCTACAACAACGAGTGAGACTCGTGGTGAAGATTTTCTACATGATTCAACAAATATGTATATCACTCAGTTCATTCGAATTCAAAGTAAATATTATTCCTCTGTGATCAATTATTATACTTCAAAGGAAATATAGGCATAACGTGTGCTTAGAACTTTTCTATTTTTCCAATAAATTAATGACAAAGTTGCCGTATTATACACATTAGAACTACCGGATCAAAACGGCCCATTCCTGATTTCCTTTCGCAATTATGAAGATATTTCTCTGGGGAATTACTAGAGACATTGATTTACCAATACGCAAACTGTGGTATAGATCAAAGTCTCGATAGATGCTCTTGAAGTTTCTATCGAGAAATTTCAAAAAGTCCATTTATGTCGCCATAGAGTCATGGCTTCCTTACTCCATCCTCATTTTACCATTTTAATCATCGTTACTGTTGTAATATTTACAATGAACAGGTCAAGTATAGTGCTATATCACTTCCGTGAATTTTCCCCTTGTTATCTATGTTCGCCGGTGAGTAAACTCGATACACTTCCGGTCCGTTAAGGGTTACACGAACGGTGATCGGGCCTTCGCAGTGTCATGGCGAACAGGCCGAGCAGGCGGCGAAGGTGAGCGAAGCTGGTCCGCGTAGCAGCGCAGCGTGTCACGTTTGAACGTGTGATCGCTCTCTACACGCACGCACGCACGTACGCATGCACGCACGCACCGATGCATCTCGCGTCTATAAATAGAATTAAACCCTGAAGAAGAACGGAGACGTCGCCACTGGTGGAATGACCACCGAGGTTGCCGTGAGGTCATCCCAGGTCGGGGATAAATTAAATATACGATCACCTCGATTACGCCCGCTACCTTATCGCTCCTTATTCCCCTCGATCGATTTCGACACGGACGTCGATGCGCCCGTGACTCCCCTCGACCGCGATTCTCGAGATCGGTTGGAAAATGCTCAACCGACCGGCGAGGAAAACACGATCCACGCGCGAGAACCGCCGATTATAACAACACCGTTGATTGTACTCTTGTAAATAAATATTCTTTAACCCCTTGACTACGAACAGCGCCATTAGGCCAATGCGCTAGCAAACCCCTAGTACTTCAACCCTTTCGGTCACGAATTATTTTCTCCTGAGTCCAGTTGTGCGTCTTTAGCTTTATTTTGTGATACAATTTGATAAAGTCGACGCCATTGTTAACACGTTGACTGCCAAATAAACACTGTGGTGAAAATAATTTTCTTAATAAAGTAGAAACTAAAAATTCAAGATTCTTTATAACGACTGCTCTGTTGTCCCTCTTATATCTCTTACGTGCAACAAAATTCGGTTCGTTCGAAACGTCACCGAGAAAATTAATGTTTGAGTTTGTGTAAAAAATGGTGTCATCTGAATTCGGGTGACGTGGCAGTCAAAGTATTAAGTAGAATCTATGGTTGTGATAGTATGAGGACGTTTGCAAACAAAGTTTGCCGAATGTAAATACAGCAAGTATTTACTTAGTATGTCATTATATGACGCCATGACCGGAAGGCTTAACGAGTTTGACTCGTGACAAAAATATTGAACCAAACATAAATATCACGAGTGACTCGAGGTGACAATAAAATATCGATCGCCGTAATTACGGGGATCGAATCAAGGGATTAATTTGTTTTAACCCTTTGCGGACGTGGATTCGTTGAAGTATATAGAACCTTCAGCAGCTGGAGCTAGATTATTTGCCAACTTAAATAATAGAGAGGAAGGGAACTGTGTGCTCACCTCTCGCTGTTTGAGCAATTAAGTAATTTGTTTATAGCTCAGCATTTCGTATATCGAAGTTTGATCCTGCTGAAATGCCGACATTCGTAAAACGTTGAACCACAGCTTAACGATGCACATTAACCTGTTTGCTTTTCGCGTGGTGACATCATGCGCTTCCTGCTCAGTATGTTTACCACGAAAATCGAATGTAATTCTCATAAATCGCGTCCCCGCCTTGGACAAGTAAGACTGGTCCGTTTGTTTTGAACGCAACGCGAAGGAATCGTGTGTACACGATCTTTTTAACCACTTGCGCACTGGTAACGAGAAATCTCGTTTTTATATAAAGCTATGCAACTTCGCTAATTATCACAGCATTGAAAAAAATGTAAAATTTGATTCAAACTGATTATCTATTTAAAATATATTACGTAACAATATATTGATAGCAATAAGGAACTACACGTTAATCTCTTGTCCGAGTAATTAAATCATTTGCTTGCGACATAGTTTTCCAAATACGAACATTTCATCTCGCCGAAATGTCGACATTCGTCAAAGGGTTAAAGGTGGTATTCTATGTGTCGTCACATTCTGGCCCCACGTTTCCTGTACGTGATCTATGTGGCTCTATATAAGAAACTATTTGAGATACTACTGTAACACATTTAAGCCCATCCTTTGTGGACAGACGATGGTCCTCGCTTCACGCCCCCGCTCAGACCATTCTGACCTTCGGGGAAAACCTCAACCCCTTGACGTATATTCTTCGCGGTTATGTTCGTCTAATAAATTGTCCTATCGATAATTCGCGGGAAAACTATTTCTCAAATATCTACTTTATATTTCTTAAACGTCTATTTTACATTCTCAGAATATTTACGATATTCTCTGAACATTCACTTTGCGTTTCTTGTACACACCTGACCCTCGATTTACGCGGTAAATCGGAACAATTTAGCAAGAGCGAGTAAGACATTCGTTTTCTAAAATCTCATTATTATTTCTTTTGTTAAACTATGTGAAACAGATATGTAACTAAAACTTACACTAGTTTCTCTTCAATATTTTCTTCTCTACCGACAGGCTCCATTTACGCGATTTTCGTTCGCGTGAAATGAACCCACGTGGAACGGCTTTCCGCGTAAATCGAGGGTGGCTTAACAAATGTTTCTCAAATATTTGACGAAGCGTGTTAAACCAATATTTTTCCACCGTGGTAACCACTTAAACCTAGATACTACCGTTGTATTCCAACAGACACGATAAACGCGACAGGTGAACGCGTCGCTACGTTCAATGCACAGGGTGTCCCTTCAGTCGGCAACGCTGCCGTGACGCTTCGCACGGCGATCGGGCATTTCACTTTCAAATACGCCAATTACTCCGAGCAATAGGCGACCCGCGAGACGGTCGGGCGAAGCACTTTCGAAGTTGATCCGATCGAACCGCGAGCGGGACAATTTTATTTCGTACCTGCGACGCCATTGTTCCCGCTGCGCTCCTCGTGCGAGGTAACCTTCGTAAGTACACTTCGCGCAGATTTACGGGTACAGATTGAATTGCGACGCGAACGTAACGCGAATTCGTTCCCGCGAACGGGACTGTAAATTTCGAGCGACTCGCCGACGACGTGCCCCGTCGTTAGACACGAATCTCAAATTTCAAATCGTGCCCGCAATGTGTACGTATAAACGAGTGTTTTCGGGGGCATCTGTTGCGCACGTGAGTTACGAGCTGGCCTTAAGGCGTCGTTCACACCGCGACGGCTCTGACAACAGGGCTCGCGATCCAGTGACCTACCGGAACAACGGCCTCGCGAACAATACTTCTGCCGAGAGAACTTATCGACGTCGATCGACCGCGATACTCGCGACTCTCGCTTTATCGCGGTGTCGCAATACGAATTTCACCGGGACAATGTAGTCCGCTGATAAACGATCGCTTTGTTATTGTTTACACGAGCACCGATACGCGTCGTTGGGCAACGGCGATTTTTAATGCATTCGATGAAACGATTCTATGGTTATCCAGCCGGCCTCCGGAGTTTCCACGGAAATCATGAATATTTCCGGGAAAAGCCGAAGGAACGTCCTCCGCTGGCGGACGGGCTGTTTTGTTTGCGTTTCCTCAGCTGTTCGTTTCGGATCGAATGTTGACGTTACTTGGAAGGGTTGCGTTGTGGAGATTTTTATAAAACGAAAATCAATCGACGCAGTAGAAGGATAAACAAATCGAAGGGAGAAATTGAATTCCGGATTGAAAAGTGGAAACGTAGCGAGTGATTAATCGGTTTCGAAACTTTTCCCTGCGTCGATCGGAAACAACAACAAAGGCGTAATAACAGAGTGACTCACCTTTTCAAGACACTCCTGGCCAATGGCTTTGGGGTCGACTTGCACCTCAAGGATGACGGAATTTGCTTGGCTAACGAGACACCACATTTTGCAAAAAATTGTATCCAGACGTTCCGTAAACACACACCCTTTTTATTTGCTCGAGGAATTTCTAACGGCCGCGTTCTGGCGTGACGTGACGAGACGTGACGAGACGAGACGTGAAAATGAAAAACGGGAAAACCAAAAATGCACCGTTCACACAAAACTGTCGACACGCGACGATCTTTTCCTCTCCGGATTCGCGGCTGGTCGGCGACCGGTATTACCCGGTACGTTTTTAAACATAACAGATTTAAAACGCGTACTCGTGCACAGCTGTCACCGTGTCCTCGCACACGACCTCGTCGATCGGCAACGTGCTCGCGTTCCTGCTAGCCGAACACGTCTCATCGGCTTCCATTTCTCGGTGCAGAATGGCACACGTACTGACCGCTCGCGCTGCCAGGATTAGTTCGCGAAATCGAATCACCTTTCGGTCTCTGTAGAGTGGCGCTAGTGTTGTATGAACGCATACATCACACATACTCACGCACTACGCGCAACCCGACGAACCGCTGTTCGCGAGCACGATCAGTCGGATGAGGGAAGGTTAGGTTTACACAGCTGATTCCCCCTCTACATTTTCGAACGTTTTCTTTTCCGTCCGATCCTCCAGCCAATCGCGACCGACCTCGACAGAAACAACCAATTACGCCGCAGCGGAAAATTTAACCGTACCTGCGTTTGCGCCGTAGAGTGATAGGGAACTTATGAACCTGTATATTCAAATCTTAGAACTGAAAAATTCACGAGGCGACAAATCGGTGATACGGTAATTGAATTCGAATTGTCTTCTCCTTTTCTGAATGCGATCAAATCGGTTTACCATTATACCGTTGCTTAATAATGGATTATGAAATATTCGATTGGTTCGCATGGCCCAATTTTGAGCATTACCGTAAATATTTAACGGTCACGAAAACTGTTACGTAAGCGTAGGTTACGTAATTGCAAAACATATTTCATTTTGCAGTAGAGATTGCAAATACGTTGAAATACGTACTCGTAATATAGTTGTGTAGTCAAACTCGGGTAGGTTCTAGTTATTTTTATTGTTGAATATTAATACTGTACAGATTTACCGGCTCGCAGAGACAGGGTATACACATGAGGTATAAGTATTATTTTGTATAACTTAACAACGTTTAAAAATTTCAAACAAAACAAATGGTGGTTCCGTACATCGTCGCGAGAACCCTGTCGAATTGGGAGCTTGACCGTGATTCTCGGGAGTTGTACGGGTATTCTGTAATCACAATTTGTGTCCTCGATGCAGCAGAATTATGGAATGACATCTAGCAACATACATTTAATGATGTATAATTTTTGCCACCACCCTAAGTTTTAACATTTACACGTCATCCTAATATATCTAGGCCATGATATATCACAATGACGACAACCCCTTTAATACATTTACACTACTACCGCGATGCAGCTACTCTAAATCTTAAACTTTCCAACATGGTGGTAAAAGCTCAGCATAATTACGACTACATTTATTGTCGTGTAGCAACCGCAGACAAAAATTCTAGTAATTTCAGTACCACCATCTATGATTAAAAGGTATACACTTTCTCTGATAAAAGTACAACATAACGGCAGAATAGATACGTTTTAAGATATGATAAAGGAAAGTACTTAATGTACATTTATAGCATAAGATGCAATATTTATACGCGTCAACGCATTCCATCCAATTTAAATTTCGTTGCGGTAATTCTTGTGCAACTCTGGTTGGATGTTGTATACCAACTTCAAAATTGTAAGCATTACCTGAATAACATAAATCAAAGTGATGATGTATATATACTCTATTAGGGATATTCTTATTTCATTAGTCTATGTATACAACGTACCATGTCCTTGTGCACGGAAACAGCTTGATTCATATCTTCTATTTTCACTTTCGTATCAGCTTCTATACGTGCAGCTACGTCTTCTTTCGAGCCCATATGCTAAATATCGAAATAACTTATACTTAATTAAACATTGAGCAATATTCTCCTTTGCCATGAATCTCTGACGGTTCAATGGAATATTTTAAATGATTTATGTTATCAAGAAACTATTCATGGGAATGACTGTTACCTTGGCTTCAAATTCACGGAATTGTCTTTCCCTTTCTTGTCTATATTTCTCAATTTCATCTTGAGCTTCTTCCTTGGCTTGTTTCAATCGACGTGCTTTGCCTAAATGGAAAGTTATATTTTAAAGTTATATCAAGCTTGTAATAAATAATTGTGAATATTTTAAGAAAATAAAACCATAAATTCGTACATACAGTATATTAGCAAAGGTTATTAACTCTGTTTTATGGCAAAAGAATCATTTAACCATATACTTCTCTGACACATTCGAGTTCTACATTTATATGCGAAATAAATGAATAAAACATGATTAAATTCTTTACTAAGATGCGTTACCTTGATTCATGTAACTTGAAATATCTGAATTTCTTCAATACTTTTGAAAGGTTACACCCAGTTAAATTCAGGGTCATAGAAGAGTTCATCGTAAAGTGTTATATACGAAACAGATCAGCACTAAAATATGAATTCCAGTAGTTGAATAAAGACTCACGTTTTCTTGCTTCTGAAACTTTCTCTGCAGCTCTCTTTTCGGCTGCCAGAAGCTGTTGAATACCTTGCGTCTGGCTGGCCATCTTTGCAACGAAGGAACAGAAGTGTATTCCGCACGAAAGAATCACAAATCGATCATATGACTTTGGAGTTTCCGTTGTTTGCCCCGCCTTAAGTGATGGCGCTCTAGGTTGTGCTCTCACGTGTGCAGTCTTCACGCAATTAACAAGGGCACCAATCAGAATTTACGAAATAATTAATAAGTAATAAATATAAAATATATTAAAATTCATCTAACAGTGAAAAGAAATGTACCTTTCACGTTACATAACACTAATTCTTTCAATGTTTATTACATATATCATTTTCTTTTCCTTTTTTTTTATACATTGAATCGTTTCTCGCGCTTTCGATATTTCGATTCTCGAACTAAACCAACTTCGAAATTATCAAGTATTTTATCGTATGGTTATTAATATTAAATATAATTTAAAAAATAAGTTGATATGTTTTACACATGTTATAATTTTTGTTCTGACCATTCTCAACCGTTGTACGATCTTCATCTGGAAGTAAGTCTCTTCTTATTCACTTCATGAATGCAAGCATTTAAAAAGGTGTATTAAATATATTTAAAATGTGTACAAGTACATGCTCAATGTACAATAACAAGTATAAACTATCGTCAATTATTTAATTTTCTGCACGAAGTAGAATATACAAAAATTTATACACTAAAGTATACGAGTTCCTTGAATGTGCTGTTTATTGTTCAAGAAAATTTTCTCTTGGCGTTTCTTTTCCTCTTTAAAAGCTTCAGTGTTCGCTTTCCGTTCCACCCTTCTTTCCTACAATTAATAATTAACGATTTCACTAGTGTCTTATACCATGGATACTAAAAGTGAACAAATAAATATTACTTTTCTATATTCTTTGAGGGCTTTTTTCCTTTCTTTTCTTTCGTCTGGAGTTTCATCTTTAGGTCTTATACTTAATGTGCTCAAAGTTGATTTCATGGTCTCAGCAACAGATTGGGGTCCCTTTACTTTAGAATTTTCATTCTGTTGATCAAACTGAGCTAAAGTTTTAGCTGTAAGTTTTCCAGAATTTACATCCAACACATTTTTTGGAATACCAGTTCTCGGATTGACTTTAATTTTTTGTAGAGGCTGTAAACAAAAATATGATTACAGACACTACATACAACACAATGAAAATAGGTTTAAGTACTATACCTTGGGCTCAGAAATTAATTTTGGATGATTATAAATATTACTATATGTACTAATGATACTTTCACAATCCCACTGATCCCTTTGTCTTGCCTCAACTACAAGATCTTCCAAATTATTTTCATCCTCAGAACTAGAATATTCATGTTCCAATATTTTCATTCTATCTTTCATAAGTTGTGCAATATTTTCGGCCTATAAATGTTAAGTACATCATGAATTTTTGTCCTACAAAAATTAATTTATAATACTTACATTTTCATTTTGTTGTTTTTCAAATTCAGTTGCACACTGTAGGAGTAAGTCTGAATCTGGAGCTACATATCCTTCAATTTCATCACAATCTAAAGCACCAATTTCATTTTCATCATATGCTGCATACATCTGCCAATGTAATAATAGAAAGTATAAGCTGATTAAGAGAAGAGGGGAAACATTTTAATGTTATATACTAACTTTTTCAAATTTATCATCCAAGAGAGTTAATTGTTCGTTTCTTCTTATAACACTACTGCTCATTGAATATTCTGTAAAACGTGATTTTGTTTCTTCTTCCCTAAAGGTATACTGAGGACCATTCAAACTACACACTTCATCTTGTTCTTCATCAGATAATGCCATATGGTCCTCAGATGAAACATTAGATGATTGATCTGTTGCATTCAAGTTATATATGTGAAACATATATTCATTATAACATGTAAATGATATACTTTTACATACCATACTTTTCTTCATTCTCAGACTCATAGTCACTGTTTCCAGCATTGGCTAATTCCACGAAATTATCTTCCAATTCATTTTCAGGATCATTATAGTCAAAATCATCATCCATTGCAGCAACTACATCAGGATCCAAGTTTAATTGTAATCCAGAAACAGGGGCTGCTTTATTGAGAAGTCCAACTTTTTCTTCCACATTTGAGGCAAACACGGAAGAAGGTAAATTAATTTTTGGTGCAACTTTGTCATCTCCTTCCTCATTTTTTCTTGAATTGTTTGTATAATCTACACGTTCCCATTCGGCTGTCAATGTATTTATATCTTTAAGATGCTGCAGGTAATCATAATCATCATCAAAGTATATGCCATATTTTTGTTGTTCTTTCTTGCGTTTGCTATCGCTTAGCTGGTTTTTCTCTGACTTAGCTGGTTGTGTATCTCCTGCAGGCACGAGAACTCGTTGAGGGGCATTTTCATCGGCAACTAACGGATCTTTTTGTGACCGATGAACTAAATGAAATGTCACCGAATTTTTCTTGTCGATGAACTTTTTTGCTTTACCCTTCGGCTGAAAAATATTTTTAAATTCCGTATGTAACGTAAAAGATAACCTAGCTCATGACATAATGTTATAACATACTACTATTGCGTATAACTTACCATTTTCTTAATATTTCAAGTTTAACATACAGAATTTAATAATAACTGTATACAAGAACTATTAATTTGAACTTTTTCATATGACAAATCTTACATTCATACTTCAGGAATTACCTTGTTCAAGAAGGTACTACAAAAGCATGTGTTTTAGCAGTGTCTCTCAACTTCGCGGTTGAAATTGTGAATTGAAATTGTATTATAGCGAAAGCAAAGGTTAAAGTTTCATGAAATAATTGTTCGAAATATTGGTCTTCTATAAAGTCTATAATCTTTGCGAATAGTATGCGAAATACTAATAATTTTTATACAGATTAGATAATTATATTTTTATTATAAAGTCTACCCTTTTCCTTCTCTCAAATAATCAATGCTAACAGCGTTCGCTATTGATGTTCGATAAACACGTAAGAACACTTCAAGAGAGCACAGAGAATGGGGCTCTTTGATCGTTTAGCGAATCTTTTAGGTCTTAGGAAAAAAGAAGTAAACGTTTTAGTAGTGGGCCTTAACAACAGTGGTAAGTCGACGGTCATAAATAATTTCAAACGCGAGGATGACCGTTGCATAGACATAGTGCCCACTGTTGGGTATAATGTTGAAAAATTTTCATGTAAGTTAAACAATGGCGAGTGAACGACGTTGTTTGATGTTCAATTATCGAGCTTACAACAATACTGTTATTTGCACATGCATTATTTTATCAATCAGTTCAAGCACCACTTGCTATTCTATAAGGAAATGAGATAAGCATAGAAAGTTATAAATGCATTTACTTTTGTAAAAGGAATAGATACATACACATACTATACATAAAAAAACACATACATCTTACTTTACTAAGAACTACATCGAATATT